AGCTCTGTGTATTGCGTGTAATCACATCCATACAGTTTATGATCACAACAACAACAACGTTTGTCAGGCATCTACATTTTCATCTGAGGAGATTACAAAGATTAAACGAGTGTTTTTTTAAACTCTAAAACATGAAATGTGGAGTTACAGTATCTGCTTTTGCCAAAAACACGACTGTTGGAGTTATCTGCTTTTGCTATAAAAAAAAATTTTTTTCAATGAACTTTAATTTTGTAAATTACCTGTGAGTATCACTGATACCAGTACTACTGATGTCTCTAGGAAATTTTTCTTTTTTTCCTAATATTTAACCATTGACTGTAGCCATTCAACATTACAGTATAATTGAGATTTATCAATTTCAACATTTATTAGTCTTTAAAAAATAACTTCTAATTTAAGTGAACTTTAAACAATCTTCACATAAACCCATTATAACCAATGTCATATTTAGCTACCTGTGCCCTTCAGCAAGTAGGAAATATACAGAAATTTAGTAAAGTTATCAAACACTACATTCTAAATTAAATATAGATGGATCCTTAAAGCTATAAAATTGATTGATTTCCTCTTTTTTTCTTTTGTTCTTTGATGAACAGACATCACAGCAGCTGGTTAATAGGTTATTTTGGGGGCTGTTTCTTTAAGAGCTGCCGCTGCTGAACATGACACGGATCTGACACGCATCGTATTTTCTCTCAACTCTCTTTACCTTTTCTGACCCACTTCAGGTCTTAAAGTCTCTATTAATGAGCTGACGAGTTGAATTGGTTGTGTTAGATGAGGGAGACAGTGTTGGGCTCCTCCAGGACAGTTTTGAAATCCATTTCAGAGTTCTTAAAGGGTCATGAAACCCTCCGTTTCAGCACTGGTTAGTTCTCACCACAGTTTTAAAAAAATGCTAAAAAAGTGGGCGTGGTGCGCAGCGGAGCGGAGGAGGGGGAAGAGGGGAGACAGACAACACACACGCAGCTTAGCGTTCTGACAGTTTAATTTCGCTCCCATTGAGCTAAAAACACAAATAAATGCACAGCCATTTGCACTCTGCATCGAAAACATATATATGAACGCGCTGTTGCACCTCTGACAACTTTTAAGGCTTATTCTGTTGCGTTTATATAAGCCTTTTGACGGGTTGTGTCACAGAGCTGTAAAAACGGTTATGCTCACCAAGTGAATGAATCGCGTTTGTGCCGAACTCTTATTACAAAGCAAAAACAAACACTCTTCTTCGATCCGGGGAGCAGTTGGGGGTTCGGTGCCTTGCTCAAGGGCACCTCAGTCGTGGTATTGAAGGTGGGAGAGAGCGTTGTACATTCACTCCGCCCACCTACAATCCCTGGGTTACGAGTCCGACTCTCTAACCATTAGGCCACGACTTCCCAAAAAATTGAGGCACCAAGAATAACGATCATTAGCAGCCTCGTGTTTTAAAAATCATGCATCCGGAATCTCTTGATAGCGATTCCGCAGCTGTGTCAGAAAACCCCATCCACAGCTGTGCCAGTCGCAGCAGATGTCCTTTTGTGGCTCATATATGTGACTCATATAGCCTAATACGTGCATGCAGCTTTAATCGCCTTCATGACTTAACTGACCACGACACTACAAATACTGAAAAAATTAATCGCCTGCATTAACGCGCTAATTTTGACACCACTAATATATATATATAAATATATATATATATAATTTTTTTACATTTTTTTTTTTAAGCTTTTTAGTTTAAAAAGCTGCATTTATTTGAAAGAGATTTTTTATTATTTTTCTTTATTCTTTATTTTAAAATGGACAATGCACATTAATTAACATGAGCACTCAAGTCCATCATGTAAATGTGCCATACAGGCTAATTTTCATCTGCAGTCCCTGGCAGGTTGATGGTAAAAACCAAAGTCCACAAGAACATAAAACATAAGAAGAAAGAACAAACATTCCAACAAACATAGTCACAAACACAAAAGACTTTAAATATAAAAAACAGAAGCAAGCAAGAAACCACTACTTCAAATTATGAAAACATGTTTGATTATCCAACAACCACCCTTTTATCGATTCAGAAAAAGAAGCAAAATATGTAATCTTTCTTAGTTCTATAGGTATAGTATTCCAGGTATGTGCTGCTATAGGAAAATGCTGACTGCCCAAAAGCACTTCTTCTATGTGGTATTATACAGTCCCCTCTAGTAGTGGCTCTAGTAGAGGAATTCAAATTTTGTGTAATAAATTCATTATGTGGAAGTGGGGCCATACCATGCTAAATGTTATACACAAGTAAAATATCTACCAATTTAATCATATTTTCCCAGTTTAAAAGACCATATTTTGTTAAGATTTTACAGTGATGATATAAATTAGACCTTTTATCCAGTCTTTTCAAAGTCTGTTTATAGAGTATTTCTATTGGTTGTAAAGTAGTCACATTTGTCTGTGTCCAACTGGTGAGACAGTAGTTCATATGTGAAAAAATAATAACATTAACATATAACTTTGAAGCCTTGGTGGTTAAATAATTCCTAATATGTCTTACATTTGCCAGATTAAATTTAATTATATTGCCAACTTTTCTCCGTTAACTTTTTTAACTAGTTTTTTTTTATTTTTTATGTGAGTTATGAATCAAGTATTATACCTACATATTTATACTCATGGACTACCGATAATCTTCTACCTGCTACTGGGTCTGGATTTCTATTTGCAGACTTTAAAAAAAACACACATACAGTTTTACTAACATTACAGATTATAACATAACATTACAGATGTCTTTACTGTAATTTTATTGAATTGAATTGATCCTTGCTGAATAGTAAAATCATTATTCACTAATTCATTATTCACTAATAATCTTCCCCTCTACTAAGCTGTTGACATCATACATCATTCAATTCAGAGTAAGCGAGCTTGAAAAACAGATTACTTTGACTCATGCACAAATCATACAGTCTGATTTGTGAACATGAACAAATGATTAATTAAAAAGAACAAGCTTAAAACTACAGTTCCTACTTTTATCCGGTTCTTGAGTTCAATTCAGTTACTTAATGATTCATTTGCAGCAGTTCTTCAGTTAGCAGTCACTGAATGGATTCAGTTGCCTTGACATATAAAGTGCAAGTCATATTAACTACTCTCATTATGATTTTTCTCATTTTTGGAGCTTACCATGGGTGGTCACATCATAAAGGTTTGGAATGACATAAATGATGGCAAAATTTCATTTTTGTGAACTAATCCTTTAAATGTACTGCATTTATAATGTCTAGGCTAAGTGTTGTCCCCTAGGATGTGTTCAATAAGGACTTTGCAGATATTCTTACCCTGCATGAGTGTGTAGAAGGTTCCTGAGGCCGAGAGGTTGGTCGTGACCGTGATGTCCTCTTTGTTGGAGCCCTCTGTTTGCACCCGCACAGTACTGTCCGAATCAGTGCGGTAACTGCTCACCCTGCCCGTGGGGTAGGTCACGTTTGTCAGCCGTCCATAGCTGTCATACCTGTGGAGATGGAGAGAACAGAGTGTGAAAAAAAGATGGCTCGACTCGTCTTTAATGAGACCAGCTGTGGATTTCAATCACATGCAGGTCTGGATAGTCAAAGTGAGTTGTACAAGCAAGAGAACGGCCAATGAAAAAATGCAACCGTGTTACAAAACGAAATATTTTGGACGATAACGGAGAAAGGTATAATGTCCTTTCTTGATTTTTGGAACTGTTTACCACTGTGGCAGCCATCATTATTTTTCAACTTCGGTATGCTCACACAAGAAGCACAAAAATAACACTTCAACTTCAATTTTTGAAACAAAACTGACCTTATTTGTAAGAACTTCTTCTAAAGGCTCAATTTTCCCAACAGGTTTCTTGTATTTGAATGTGGCCCTCGTGGCTTGTGAAGTTGAGTGCTTAGACTTAAATGAAAATCATTATTTTCTAGCCCTTCTGTCGTTCCAAACTTTCCTGACTTTCTTTCTTCTGTGAAAAACAAAAGATGATATTTTGAGAAAGAACTGTTTGGCTCCCAATTTGTTCTACAAGAGTCTTCTTTTGTGTTCCACAGAAGTAAGTCAACGTTTGGAAAGATGCGAGGGTGAGAAAATGACAGAAATGTCATTTTTTTGTGTGAACTATCCCTTAAGAACACGGCTAGTTTGAGCTTCAACGCAGCTGTACAGCGTCAAATTCATTGGTCATTGGTAATCTGAAATTGCTGGTTCTGAAAATATAATGCAATATGACAATTTCACTGGGAGAAAGAACTGAGTAGTACTCTTGCAGACAGATCGCTCATCCAACTAAAAGTGACACCAGCAAGTGAAACCAAGAAACACTAAGATCTTCAAGCTAATATTGTACAAACAAATTTGACTTGCTGGAGATATTTTTATTTTCTATGACTTTCATGCAATATCCTTGGGATTCAAATCTTAAGTTTCCTTTTTACCACAAAGGTGCTTGGACCATCTAAACCACGTCCCAACTTTCACAGGCTCTACACGCTAAAGAAAAATCACTGTATATAGAGAACAAAATGTGTCTCCTCCATTTCATTTGTAGAAGTAATAAAGAGGTGAAAGCCAAAAGCTTGGTAATACAGTATGTTTCTTATCAGCCTCTTTATTCCCCATCCAAAACTCTTCTCATTGTATCATTTTTGCTTTTCCTTTTTTTCAAGAGGCAAAGAAAGGAGGTTGGAGGCTGGCAACTAAATAGAGGAGTGAATGACTGCAGTCGACCCACAACGGTTTTGTTCTGTTCTTTGGCAAGTGAACTAAATGATCCTGTTTTCTTCTTCTACTTTGTTCCTTTCCTCCCTATATTTTTTATTTGCCAGCCTCCACGTGAGCACTCTCTCAGCAGGCCGAGTGTGGAGTAAGTGCAGACTGATTCATCTTGGTGACCAAACATCTCCATTTAGAGCAGCAGTCTATTGTAGTCATTGCAAACTGACCGCCTCAAAGCACCCTGGGATTGGAGTATTGGTCGAGATGTACTACTAAGATTTCTACTGTACTAAGATTTTATGTTTTTGAAAGAAGTATTTTATGCTGCATGTATTTGATCAATTATACAGTAAAAACAGCAATATTGTGAAATATGGTTCCAAATGAAAATAATGTTTTCTATTTTCTAATAAATTTTAAAATGTAATTTATTTCTGTGATGCAAAGCTGAATTTTCAGCATCGTTACTCCAGTCTTCAGTGTCACACGATCTTTCGGAATCATTCTAATATGCTGATTTGGTAATCAAAAAATATTTCTTATTATTATCAATGTTGAAAACAGTTGTGCTGTTTAATATTTTTGTGTAAACCATGATACAATTTTGCAGGATTCTTTAATGATTAAAGTTCAAATTAGCAGCATTTATTTGAAATAGAAATCTCTTTTTTTAACATTATACATACAACATTACTGTCACTTTTGATATGGAGTAATATGGAATACATTTGATATGGAGTAATATGTAATAATAATAATTTTACATTTATATATAAAATTATTACACTAAGAATTGCATTTTTGGTGAAAGTTCAGTGATTATAATAAAGCTATTTAAAAATATTCCTAAAGGCCTCATTGTCTATTCATTGAAATTGATGGAAAAGAGCAACCAGTGCATTTTTCAATATTTCTCCTTTTGTGTTCTATATAGGACAATCATGCAGGTTTTTGAGGGTGAAAAAAATATCTTTTAAGGTGAACAAATCCTTTAATAAGGTAGCGCTGACATGTATAACTGCAAATGCTGTTTAATTGAGTGGAAAAATGCATATGTTCCAGAATTAAAAAATTGAATTGAAACTCATAGAAATATGAATTCAATATATTTAAAAATGGAACTTGTTTCACAGAACATTCTCTCAGTATACACAATAACATGTTCCCTCCAGAGCTGAATAGTTGGACATCATAGCAGATGTCTTTGTAATGCTTGTGCTACTCGTCGTACAGTTTCTGCACGAGTCCTGCTCGTTGTAACGTCCGCAGAAGAACACGCTTCACAGGGACTTAATGAATTCAGGTGGCAGAGATGATAAACCGCGCATGCCATACTTTGCAGTGTGCAAATAAATAGTTTAGGCTGCTCTGTTCTAGTGCAGGATAACAGTGATTGCAAAATAAATTATCTAATTACAACTTTAAAAAAAAAAGAAAGAAAAACAATAAATAATAATAAAAATAAGGAAAAATAACAATCAAGCTTTCTTTATCACAAAAGACGACCTCATGTTGCCTGAGGGAATGGACAGATCTAATTGCTAAGGAAGGAAAAAACAACAACAGAGCAACTATTCCTGATGTTAATTATTGTTTTTTTCTCTCTCACTAATTGCAATTATTGAGTAAATGTACTTTGCCTGCCATTTGCTCATTATCAAAGGGGGATTAAATAAATGATATGACAGCATGGGACTGAAACAAAGGACGGAAAACTCTTGAACCCTTGAGGCAATGCCACTTACAGTTGGTTATCTATAACCATTTACTGTGCCTTATCAAATATGCAGGATTTGCACATTAAAATAAACAGTACAAGCAATAAATGTGTGTGAAGTAGTTTTAAATTAGTTTTGTCTACAGTCAAGGTCACATGAAAGTAATATGCTAATGAATATGCTACAGAAGTATTAACACAAACACATTTTCTCTTCTGTTATACAGACTGAGGGCCAAAATCAATTTCTCTAGAAAAAGGTTTACATTTGAGTTAATCTGGAATCAGTTACAGGGGTGTAGGATGGTTTTACTGTTTGGGTGGGACTCTGAAAAATGAGTGGGCCTACAGGCAAAACTAAAATTTTAATTTGTAATTGGAATAAAATAGAAAACTTACACAAATACTGTAGCTGTTGTCTTACATAAGCTAGTGGGAATTAGCAGGCAGGCCTGTGCCACCACTGACTACCTAGAGTTACATGCAGAACCAATTATAACTGACTGAAAACCAGAATTCAGCCTTATACACACACCATGGGTAAAAACACAAATGGAACTGAACAATGGCTGACACCGACCAATTTATATTCAGGTATACATAACATAAATCTTAAATTTTTTGTATTTTTATTCATATAATCAAAATAAATATTAAAGGTTAGATTCTGTAAATGTGAAAAGAAAATGAGTGCCTGAACTACGGAAGCAGGAACTCTAAAAACAACACTGTCTGAGATACTCTTGAAACCAATTACCTTACAGCAGATGACTGAAGTCCAATAAACCACAGAGACCTCGTGAACTCTTGACTGTATCTACAGTAACATGACCCACAGCCAACCAAGACCTTTGCAATGTACGCTGAGCAAGAGTAAATTTAGCTTCCAATAGTCGAGTGAAGCAGCGCTGTAAAATACATAGTGATGAATGTAAAACTCTATATGCAGCCAAAAACTGATTTGTCTTTTTCAGATATAGCTTAAATAAGTATAAAAAGATTGTGATATTGTGGGCACTGAAAAGCATTTTACTTATACATATAATTTT